AAACCCAGATCTCAACTGGGATGTGGAGGAAGGACCATCAGAGGCAGTAATTTAGCCAGGAAGAGGTGTACTTCTTTCCGTGAGTTTATAGGGGGTAAAGAGAATGGAGTTGAGACACTAAAGGCTATGAGAGCAACTGCTGTTTGAGGGCTGGTTGTCTCACCAGCTGCATGTGGGATTCTCAAGTTAGACATTGCTGGGGCAATGTAGCAGTGTGGGCAAGAGCTTACTCATTGGAGTCAGACTACCTAGGTTCAATGGTGGGTTAGTTAGCCCTTCAGTGCCTCCATTTTCCTACCTAGGAAATGTGGGTAACAATGGTTGTTGTGAAGATAAACAGCTACGATCCTTGTAAAGCCCTCAGTATAGTGTCTGACACACAGCAAGTGTCCACCAATGGGTAGTTATCATTAACAACTACAATCCTGGTTCTCTTGTGAGCCTCCTCCTGTGTGTCTAGCATTGGGCAGCACACAGGAGGGGGTCCAGTGTTTGCTGCTTAAGTTTCTCAGGAAGTGTGGTCATAAAAAATGAGAGGTGATTTAGAAGGTGAGACAGACACAAGGGATGTATTGCACAGTAAATGCTCCCAGACATGCAATAAATGCTTATAAGCATGTCCTCTGTAATCAGCACTCTCTAAAGAGTTTCCCTCCCTCATTGCTCTTGATCTTTGGCAATGGCTACACCCACTGCCCAAGCGATAAGTATCAGCTCTCAGCTGTCCCCTTGTCTTTTGGATCAGATTTCTTTACAGGGATCTTCCCATTGTTATAAGCTTCAAGAATCGGAGAACGCTTAACGAACACTTCCAAATTCTTCATAGCAATAAGGGGCCAGTGCAAAGGGTGGAAGGAGTTCTCCTGTGCCACAGAAATAAGAGCTGGAGCAGATCCAGCTTGCTGTCCCCTTCCCCCTAGCTTGTGGTTTATTGCAGAATTGTTCACAAAAAATTCCCATTGCCTTGGAATTTGTCCAAGCCAAGAGCAGGGATCACAACACAATCTCTCAAGGGAAAAAAAGGAAGGCCTGTTGCTTGAGATGGCTCAGAGCACTTTTGGTAGCCAGCCAAGGCAGCTATCACTCATAAAATCTGCCTTCCCCTCCAGCAAAAAGCCAACTGTATAGAACACCACATATAGAGCGCTAAGAATAGCACAGTGCTCCAAGAACATAGTGCACTTGGCCCGCATACAAGTGTGCAGGGCTTAACGAGTCTTTTCACTCTGAAAGCTGGGTGGGTTGGAATAAACAAACAGGAAAATATTTTCCCCAAGTAGCATGCAGAGAGGAAATGAGAGAGAGCATAAGCGAGCACCCTGGCATAGCATTCTCTGACCTGGGCTGCCTTTTCAGGGTCTGAGTTGATTCCACAGGCTCCGAAGCATGCCTGTAAGCGCTCTGGTGCAGACGCCGTCACCCCATTCATTGGCTCAACCAGGCTGAGCAAGTCTCAAAAGTCCTGTCATTGGCCGTGACATGAATTGAAACCCACCTTCTCTGCAATAAATATTTGATTGACAGATTGGCTTCCTTCCTTTAAGTATAGAAAGCCAGGAGAAGTTCCATCCAAAGCTGCAGGTCTGGGTGATGAGAGCTCTCGGAGCCCAGAAAAGACCCTAAACCACATCCCACTGTTTGTTGGAAGAAACCCATTTTTGGGTCTACTCATAAAAGAGTCTGGGAAGATAGTCTCCTTAATGGTGTCTGGATATAGTAGGCTATGGGAAGCTTTCACTTTATAACTTTCTATATTGTCTGAAATATAGAATATTATATTGAGTTAATGTTATATTTACTCAATGTTACTTTTTCTGGAGACAGGGTCTTGCTCTGTTGCCAAACTAGAGTGCAGTGGTATGGTCATAGCTCACTGCTGCCTTGAACTCCCAGTCTCAAGCAGTCCTCCCACCTCAGCCTCCCAAGTAGCTGGGACTATATGGGTCTCCAACTATTGTGTTTTCCTTTTCTTTTTTGAGAATGAGTCTCACTCTGTTACCCAGGCTGGAGTGCAGTGGCACCATGTCAGCTCACATTAACCTTCGACTCCTGGGTTTAAGCACTTCTCTTGCCTCAGCCTCCTGAGTAGCTGGGATTACAGGCACCCATCACCACGCCTGGCTAATTTTTTTACATTTTTAGTAGAGAAGGGGTTTCACCATGTTGGCCAGGCTGGTCTCGAACTCTTGACCTCACATGATCCGCCTGCCTTGGCCTCCCAAAGTGTTGGGGTTACAGGCGTGAGCCACTGTGCCTGGCCCCTTTTTCTGTCTTTCTTTTTGTAGAGATGGGTTCTGCCTGTATTGCCTGAGCTGGTCTCAAACTCCTGGCCTCAAGCAATCCTCCCACCTTGGCCTCTCAAAGTGCTAGGATTATAAGCGTGAACCAAGGTGCCTGGCCTCAATGTTACTTTTATGATCAGAAAACAGCCATTTTAATTTGGAAATTATTTCCCTATTCTCAAGTGGGCAAACACGAGATGGTTTCAGCCATTTGCTTTGTCTCGGGGAGGGAAAGCACAGTGAGGTGGAGTGGACACACAGCTGAGGCCTTTAAGGACAAAGATTCTAAGAAGAACAGGCTTTGGCCACCTCTGGATGTTCCCATTCTGCTCCCTGCCACCAGATAACAAATGTTGTAGGTCATGGCATATCACCAGTCTCCTGCCTAGCTAACCATAATTCATACTTTAGTTCTCCTTGTAGATGTCACATTTTCCAAGAAGCCATTTCTGCCCCTCCCATGTGCTACCAGGGCACCTTCTCACAGCATGCACCATGGTTATCTGCTCATCTGCTGGACACCCCCACTAGACTGAGGTCCTTGCGTGTAGCCTTTGTAACTTAGTAAAGTGCCTGGCATGCTCGCTAAACATTTACTAAATAATTATTTATTTGGGGGCTATTACAACCAGAACAATGTGAAGGACACAAAGATGAAAAAGAAACCATCTGCTTCAAGGAACTTACAACGGGATGTATCCAACAATTACCTAGAAAATCAAGCACCAACTTAAGGACGAGAATAGGGGTCCAAGCGACCAACTTTGAAGGTTAAGAAGGTTTTGGATTCTGAATGTTTCTCATTGTGAAAATGAGTTCGGAATCCCCATCTTAGAAGGCTAACATGGGATATGTGCACAGAATTGTGAGTATTCACATTGTTACAACCTGTATTAGAATCTGATGCACGATGTTTCTTCTGTCCTTCTTGCGGTTGCCCTAAGAATACGTGCCACTTACTCTGAATTGACGTTTGTGAAATACCTTGGCTTCATTTGCTGAAAGGCTCTAAGTGTTGAGCATTGTTACTGTGTTACAGTGGTTGTTTTATTATTAAAGCAGTGCCAAGGAGGTTACACAACAGCTTGGATCAGGAAGTGAAACAAGGGCGGTGATCCCACTGAAGCTACAGGGGATGAGGACTTGGGACGGTAAAATGTTAATTACTCGGAGATGGAATGTGGGCTAAAGTCCAGCGTTGTGCTCCTGGAGATCACTGCGGTCCCAAAGGCTCAAGGCTGGCACTCTGGCAGTGGGTCCTAAGCATCCTGCCCTCCTCTGGCTGAAACGTTGGATTCACTTCGATGAAAGCTGCTACAGAGAAAGAACCCAGTGGCCACCAGCCAGGAGCACACGTCTTGCTCGGCATCAATTATCTGGAAGAGTTCCAGGAGTTGAAGGGCTGTTCTCTTTGCAAGCAATAAATGATTCATTTCTAAGACGATTTATTCAGTATCTCTTTTTACACTTGATTTCTCCTTATTTTCCAGCTCTTCAGGAGTGTCTGCAAAGAATGAGTTGGATATGTTTGGTCAGGGGTTGCGAGTTGGGGAGCAGGCTTCACATAACAAGATGGCAGAAATGGCCATCTTAACTTAAAGGGGAGAAGAATGGGTCCTGGGGAAGAGGATGTGGTGGAGGCAGTGACAACCTCTCCATAGTTAGTTCCCAAAAAGTCACTTCCAGAAACGGAGACTTTGAGTTCCAAATGAAACGTTTTTAAAAGATGCTGGGTTGGCTGACAAACGCATTGTCTAGGAGTAGGGGGAGGCACTAAAGCATGATAAAAGGAGTGAAGTCTCTGGAGTTTGACCCAGGACCAGATGCAAAGCCCACCACTTTGTGTCTAGATGACCTTGGGCGAGTTTTCTAAGCTTTTGCCAGCCTTAATTTGCCATCTGTAAAAATTAAATAATGCATTACTCATAGGTTTAACCAGATAATGTCTGTGAAGAACGCAGCCCAGTACTTGGCACAAAATAGGCATACAATAAATGGGAGTCACTATTATCGTCAACTACTGTCCAAACAACCAGACTTGACCCCAAATCCCCAGTAAACAATTAACCGTAGCACAGCGAATCCTGATCTGACGCACCTATTTGCCCAATAAGGGGCCAGGAAATAGCACAGTGGAGTCAAACCAATGGTATTAGCCCTTGTTGCTGGACGGGCTTTCTTGCTGTTCCACCAATAGCTTGAAGATTTGACTTGGGAGTGGCATCCTGACAGCCCAATGACGCACAACCAGCCCACACTCAGCACTTCGGAGGGGATAAATCAAGGAGCCGGCACGTATAGATTCCGTTATAGGGCAGTACTGGATGAAGAGAGGAGCTTAGGGAAACAGCGCCGAGGCGAAGCACTAATGAACGAAAGAGAAAAAGAAAAAAGACGATGGTTGCGCCAAGCGAGCTCGGCCGCCATCATGCTCTAGTTTCCCCTGAGTCTCTCCGGGTCCTCGACCGAGGAAGCGGCCTCTGGGATGCTGAGGGGGTGTGTCCCCGCATGATTGGCGCAGGCAGCTCAGCCAATCCTAACTCGTTAAACGGGAAGCACTTAACCAATGAGGGGCGAAAGCAGCAACGAGGAATTGGAGGGGCGGACCAACAGTTTGACGGGCACAAAAGTCAGCCAGTAGAGAGCCAGAAGCATCCTCCTTGCGTCCAATGGAGTGGGGCTCTGGGCGGGCCCCCGAGTGTTTGTGTTGTGGTTTTGGGGGAGGGATGCGGAGGGGAAAGTTTGTTTATTTTGTTTTTAGTTTCTGGGGTCCCCGTGCTTCTGCGAGGCGAAACGGGAGGGCGTGACCCCCGCGCCCCTCAGTTTCCCTAGGACGTCGCCTCCATAGCCTGAGGAGAAGCGGGGACTGCGCGCCTCGCCTCGCAGCTGAACGCCGCACACTCGGAGCCGGCACGGCTCCGCGGTGAGTGAGGTGCGGCGGCCGCGCCGTCCTTCCCCTCCCCCGCGCCCCGCGGGGTCGGAGTGGGGTGGTCGGGGGTCGGCGAGGGCGCCTGCGGGGGCGCGCACCGCGGCCCGGGGCGGCGAGCGGAGGCGCGGCGTGTGCGTGTCCTCGCGAGGGAGCGCGCGCGGGCCGGGGAGCGGGCCGGGGAGGGGGCGTGAGCGCGCGCGGGGCCGGTGCGGCTGGCGACGCTGAGCGCGCGTTCCATGGGAGCGGGCGCCGTGAAGATTTGAGTCGAGGGGTGGGGAGGGACTTGGGGCGAAGTCCGGCGTGCGGGCCGGGGCACCCCGGACTACCGGGCAGGCTTGGGCGGGCGCGCGCGCCGCTCCGGGCGTCACGCGCGGGCAGGTGTGAGCTGGGGGAGGGCTTCCGGGTGGGCTGGCCCGGCCGAGTCGAGTTCGCTTCCCGTCCCCCGAGGGGCCTCGGCGCGGGGACGCACTCCTGGGCCGCGGAGGCGCGTCCGCCCCTGGCTGGCGGTGGCAGAGGGAGGCATCAGGCCTCGGAGCCTCGGGTCCCTGCGCGGCGTCCCGGCCTGTGTGCAGGACCTGCATGACGGGGTGAATGCATTCCACACCCCTCCCCAGGGCCCTGCGTGTGTGGCCACTTGGGGAGGCGGCTCAGACTCCGGACAAGGAAACGAGGGGCACGGGGAGTGTTTTACACCCTCTCCTGGTCCGGTGCCCTTCAGTGCCAGACTACCGGGTTTATTTGGCTGTAGAGGCTAACCCGATCCAGCGAGACACGCTGTAGGGTTAAAGAAGCCCGGTAACGGTCACCTCTTGTCAAGCGCCTTAAGGACCAGCTTATCCTGAATTCTTGGAATTCAGGTTACCAGCCTGGACTTTAAGCTCGTGCTTTCTCATGTGTCTTTTGGCTGTTTTATTACTTTTTAGTATCAGTGCTAGAGATAGAAGGAGAGGAAGGTGAATTTCAAGTTGGTCATTTGTATTATAATTTAAGCAAAATTATACAAAATTGGCCAAAGATATTTCTTCGACAAGCCGAGAGTCAGTGAATAAAACGTAATTAGTGGGCTCCTGCCCCAAAAGTTAACTATATATAGAAGGTATGTAGAAGTCCTCCATACTAGCATTTTGTGAAAGTTTACTAATAGAGGTTACTGCTCTCTTCGCTGTGGGAGATTTCAGCAGTGTAAGATTTCTCTTGATTTGGAGAATCATCAGTGATCTTGGCTTTGAAACTACAGATGTGTTTTGCTTAGTGTTGTGTAAATGCCTCTTATAGAACGGAACTTGTAGCACGTTGTCTCTACCGCGTGCGGCATTGCTGTAGGCAGGTAGTGTGAGGGCTATGAATGTAGTGCCCACTTGCATTGAGGCACGTTCACCAATATCCAGGACACAAATCAGACTGGCTTGTCCTACGTGGGACGTGGTGATGATGGTAATAATAATACTTTTATATTTTCTCAGTTCTTGACCATTTTTAAGTGCTTGTCCCAAACACCATTATCTGAGCAGAGTGGTTTCTGATAGGAATTCCGAAGCTGCTTGTCTGTAGTAATGTATAAATGTCATGCCCTTGAAAAAAATTTTCCCTCATTCAAGTGGAAGTACTTAAAAATGTTTTAAAGTCAGAGCAATACCACTTGTTGAAATGGCAGTAATAATAGCTAACATTTATTGCATGCTTACTCTATGCTAGCCTTTTTACCTTTTTTTCCCTAATTCTTACACCAAGCCTGTGGGGTAGGTATCGTTACTATTCTATGAATGAGAAGAGGGGTTTCCAGGAGGCACATAGCTACGCAGTTCAAGGACATAGGTTTAGTCTCATGTCTGTCTGGTTTCAGAGCCTGCTTGTGCTTCATTTTGCCTCCTTCCTGTTATCAAAGGAGGAAAGGGCACTGAAAAGTAGAGAGTAATGGAAAAAGAGAATACCACTAATGATTAGGTTGTCCATACCTAACTTAAGAATTTAAATTAGGCCAGGCGTGAGTCACCTGTAATCCTAGCACTTTAGGAGGCTGAGAAGGGTGGATCACTTGAGGTCAGGAGTTCAAGACCAGCCTGCCCAACAAAGTGGAAACTCCGACTCTACTGAAAATACAAAAAATTAGCAGATGTGGTGGCAGGCACTTGTAATCCCAGCTATTCAGGAGGCCGAGGCGGGAGAATTGCTTGAACCCGGGAGGCAGAGGTTGCAGTGAGCAGAGATGAAGCCGTTGCCCTCCAGCCTGGGCAACAAGAGCAAAACTCAATTAAAAAAAAAAAAAAGTTCAAGATGAAATTTCGGTAAAAGCAATGGAAAAAATAAATTAAGCTCATTCTTGGCTTTTAGAAATTATTTTTTTTCAGAAGTACATCTTATTTTTTGCCCGTTTAACTTTTATAAAGGTTGTAAAAATACATTTTAGTTCAGATTTCAAGGCTTTTAGAGCCCTTTGTGCAGATCTCTGCTTCAGTACCGTGCTATTGTGATAAATTATGTGCTCTTCCAAGGACTGTTACTTATTTTTCCATCTAGCACAGTGCTTGGCACATAGTGGGAACACAAAAAAAAGTTAGTTGACTAAGGAGCAGAATTTAAAGTGTAGACTTTGGACTCGTTTTAGTAGTTGAATTATGCAGTTTTAGTTTTACAGGACAATAAGAAAACGACTAGTTCATGTGCAAAATGCACGTCTTGAAGGAATAAACGGAGCAACCCATGGGGAGAGCTCTGCCAGTTTGCTGGATCTCTCTATTCTACTATGATGTTTGAGCCACTAAGCCATTCTGTTCTTCCTCTCACTTCCAGAGTTCTGAAAGAGCAGGCTGTGCTGGCTGCTTCCCTTCCTTCATGTCTTCACTACTCAGTCATTCTGTAAACTTTTGCAGCCAGATTGTTCCAAAGTTGCCAGTTACCTCGTGGGTAAATTTCCACACTGTCTCTTCAGGTTTCATTCTTTTCTGTCTCCCTGCAGCAGTCAATACTTTTGACAACCCCTACCTCTTTAGAAATTTTTATTTTTAAAATAACATACAGTAACATTGACTTTTTGTGTGTGTTTACAGCTCTGTGAATGTTCACACGTGAATGTACCACAGTCAGGATCAGAACAGTTCCTTCACTCCAAAAAAACTCCCTTGTCCCATTCCTTTGGATCATGGCTTTCTTTCTTTTCTTTTCTTTCACCCAGGCTGGAGTAAAGTGGCACAATCTCGGCTCACCGCAACCTCCCCTGCCCCCAAGTTCAAGTGATTCTCCTGCCTCAGCCTCCCGAGTACTGGGATTATAATGCATACCACCATGCCCAGCTAATTTTTGTATTTTTAGTAGAGTCGGGGTTTTTACCATGTTGGCCAGGCTGGTCTTGAACTCCTGACCTTCGATAATCCACCTGCCTTGGACTCCCAAAGTGCTAGGATTATAGGTGTGAGCCAAAGTGCCCAGTCAGCTTTCTTAACTCTGCCTCTTCTTAAGTTTTTCTAACACCATACTGTCCTTTTTACCTTCTGGGGCATCATTCCTTTCCTGGCTTCTATCCCAGAGATAAACACTAAGGATCAACTACTAAGGGCTCCTTTTATTTATTTTTCTCTTTTTCAAATCCTAAGTGTTATTTGCCTATGAGACTTAACTGTCACTTCTATATATGCTAGCCTACCTATCTCCATGCCTTGCCTCTCTTCCGTACTCCAAAACAAAATCCATATATACCTGCTGGCATTCTTTTGTTTTCTTTTGTTTTTGAGATGGAGTCTCGCTCTTTTGCCCAGGCTGGAATGCAGTGATATGATCTTGACTCACTACAGTGTTCTGGGTTCAAGCAATTCTCCTGCCTCAGCCTCCCAAGTATCTGGAATTGCAGGTGCACACCACCACATCTGGCTAATTTTTGTATGATTAGTAGAGATAGGGTTTCACCATGTTGGCCAGGCTGGTCTCAAACTCCTGACCTCAAGTGATCTGCCTGCCTCAACCTCCCAAAGTGCTGGGATTATAGGTGTGAGCCATCACACCTGGCCGTCATTCTTTGCTGCTACTTTGTACTTAATACGTTGAAAGTCAAGTAAACCCTCCCATTAGTTAGTATTAGTTTCTGTTAGTTATTGTTAGTTTCTATTAATTATTATTAGTATATTTCAGTGGTTCCATCATACTCTCAAGTTTGCAACCCTGGAGCATTTGGAGGGCCATATAATAAACTCTTTTATTTCAGACCTGGAATCCTGTTACTCAGTTACGATACTGACTGCTGCCCCTTTTCTGCCAAGCGAGCCCGGATTCAGCGAGCTGAGAGGGGCATAGGTATTTGGAGCACTTAGAACCCCTTTAGGATTGCACCACTTCTAGTGGGCAGAACCCTTCATGACTTCCCATTGCATGCAGGCCAGTTTGGGATTTTACTTTTTATCCTCTGAGGCTCTGTGTGTTCTGGCCTTTCCAGCCTTCGCTCACTTCTTTTACACCCCACCCTCCTCTCTGACCATCTTAACTGCAAGGTCCTTCTTTCAGTTCCTCAAATTACCCAAGCCTTTTCCTGCCTTGAGGTTTTTGTCTATACCTGCACCACTCTCTTGGCTTGGGCTGTCCTTCCTCTGCTCCCCACTAGCCTTTACCCACCTAACTTCAGGTTCAGATTAAATTGTCACCTCAGAAAGGCCCTCCTTTATACCCTCGTCCCACTACCCCTATCCATCCTCAGTTAAGTCTGGTAGAACTTCTGTTGTTTTTTTTTATATGGAGTCTCTGTCACCCTGGCTGGAGTGCAGTGGCACGATCTTGGCTCACTGCAACCTCCACTTTCCAGGTTCAAGCAGTTCTTCTGCCTCAGCCTCCCGAGTAGCTGGGACTACAGGCGTGTGCCACCATGCCCTGCTAATTTTTGTACTTTTTAGTAGAAAGGGGTTTCACCATATTGGACAGGCTGGTGTTCGGACTCCTGACCTTGTGATCACCCGCCTCGGCCTCCCAAAGTGCTGGGATTATAAGGGTGAGCCACGGCACCCAGCCTTTCT